ACGGTTGTTGATCGACAGAAAGAAAAAAAAACGAAAGAGAGAGAGAGAAAGAGAGAGAGCGAGAGAGAGAAAATAAAAGCAAAAGTAAAAGTAAAAAACCTCGATGTTGCCACCCCCCAAAGCAACCCACCCCTCATCCCACCCTATCGCCGAAAAAAATCGTTCGGTAGAAAACGATCGAAAAAAAAAAATAAAATAACCGAAACGACAATAACGACGACAATGCGACAAACAAAAACAGCGACGACGACGACGACGATAAAAAAAAAAAAAAAGGGGACGTGGGGGAAAAAAAAGAAGAAAACCAAACCCGAGGCGAAAAACTACGAGGAAACGCAGTCACGCGTTTTATGTCTTTTTGATGTGTCCTTAGCCGAAAGGGGGTAAAAAAAAAAAAAAAGAAAGAAAATATTTCATCTCTGGGCGCACGTAACACGCTTGTTTCGTCGATCTAACCACCATGGTTATTATTGCAAAAGGATACGCGCAATCACGTACATATATATATATATATATACAACACCAAGCTGGATAACAACGATGAATCCAACGGGGAACATGAGAAATAAATTAAAGTGGTCGTTCGTTCGTTCGTTCGTTCATTCATTCGTTCGTTCGTTCATTCGTTCGTCCTTTCGTACGGATAAATGAGATAGAGAGGGAACGATATGCCGTCGATCGACGGATTTAAAACGTATATCTATATAAAGAAAAAAAAAAAAAAGAAAAAAGAGATAAAAAAGAAAAAGAAAGAAAGTAAAACCAGGAGAAAAAAAAGATTGAGGAAGGGGGAGGAAGGAGGGCAGGGATATATCGACCACAAAAGCTTGATGGGCACCGCAGAATAAATTTTCACGTGTGATCGGACCCGTCGATTATAAGCTTTCCCCCGACTCGGTACTACTTTATCTCACTTTTTTCCTTCGTTCTCTCTCTCCCTCTCTCTCTTTCCTTTTCTTTATTTTACTATTTCATAGATTTTTTTTGTTCCCACCCACCCCCTCCGCCCTACCGTCGGATTTTTTATATTTATTTTTACGTTCATTTTCTTTTGCAAAATAAAATAACGAGAGCCCGGTGGTGGTGCGCGATAAAGCTTGTCGTGGCCGATGATAAATGTTTCTGCGACTGTATCTATACATACGAGAAAGAGAGAGAGAGAGAGAGAGAGAGAGAGAGAGAAAAGGATAAACGAAAATGAGGAAGGAAAAATAAAAAGGATAAACGAGAAAGAAAAATGTCCTATTTCCAATTGTTCGTTTTTGTGGTTAATTCAGAGGTAACCACCTATATCTGGATAGAGAGAATAGAATAATAATGATAAAATGAAAAGTGTATATATCGGATTGCAGTCGATTAATAGAAGAAATTATTCAATCGAAGAGAATCCAAGAATAAATGAAGACAATCTCAACGATCGATCGATTAACTTTTATAATCAAATATTACGAAATCATGAATTACATAGACACGTGTAAGAATCGTTATTTATAGAAGAATCATTGATTAAAAAATGATAATATACGAGATCTAATTGTGATGGATACACAATGAACAATATTTAATGTAGATCAAATATTGGCTTATAAAGACGAAGGTCCCACTTGGGGAATAGTTTGACCGTAATATTTCTACGTTAGAACGATGTTCATTTAAAAAAGATATCTCACGTTTATAATACGATTATTTCTTATTTATGAGGATATATAAAACGTTAAACGAAAGATAGATCGAGATTATACACGTTGAGAAACATTTAAATAGAAATATCTAAATATCTATGAATTATTTATGATATAATATAAAAAGAAAAATTCTTACACACAAAAAAGTTATACATTATTTAAAAGTACGAGCATATATATGTAAAATGGCAAAGATTATTTTTATATTTCTTACAAAATGTTCAATGATTGGTTCATCGAATAATATAAATTTGTATTAATGAAATGATTTTTTCAAAGAGAAATCAAATTTCAAATGTATTTAAACGTCACATATACTGCGAGATTTCGCATAAATACAAAAAAAAAAATAATTAATGAAATTACTTCGTAAGAAATAATAATATTAGATTGATCAATAAAATTTCAACCATTCGGTCAACGTACCTATCATCATCTAGTCACGAATGTTTAATCGTTCGTTCAGTGTTCCAAGCGCAAAAGCACGAGTTTGCTTGGTAGATATCGAGCTTCGCAAGCTCGAATCGTCTACTCGAATTGTGCCTGCCTGCCTGCCTCTCTCTCTCTCTCTCTCTCTCTCTCTCTCTCTCTCTCTCTCTCTCTCGCTCTAACGGTTTAACTACTACGGCCCTTCGTTGGGAACGTAGAAGCGCAATCGCAGAATTTCTGTTGTCACTCGAAACGAAGTGCACGCGATGTTTACACGAACGACCGACTCGACGCTATCCTCTCTCTCACCGACGATGAATTCGCATTACGATGGTGGAAAAGGGTGGACGCGTTAAACCATAACGACTAACAGGACGACGTTCCATCGACTCGATCCGCCTAACCGTCGGACTATATGCAAAAAGGAAATATACCTTCTATCTCCCCTGTGAATCTCCAATGCTGCTATTTCCTTCATAAACAATTCTACCTTTTTGTGTGCGTGTTCCTCTTGTTTTTTTTTTTTTTTTGTTTGCTTCTTGCCTTTTTTTTTTTCTTTTACACTAAAGATAACGGTTCGGTGAATTTTATTTTGTGCTCTTTTGAAAGTAAGAAAATAATTATAGAAATATATACGGAGCGACTCTCCATGAGTCATTTAACGAGTTTATTTTAAGCAGTCGTCCGGTGGTGGTGGTGGTGGTTAGTAGTTAGTAGCTAATAAAAAGAGGAAACATTTGTAAAGTCAATTATATATATTTCTTCGACAAAAATAATATATTTTGGTTAATTCAGTTGTGTGTCAACTTATTATTACTGGTATTGAATTTTATTTTTTTTCAACACGCCTTCGGAATGGCAACCTTTTATACACCGAAGAAAATATAAAAGAGATGTACAACGTGATCGACATTTTTAGGTCTTCAATCAAACAAACCTTTTTCTTCATATCTTCCCTATTGACAAATTTACCCCCCATCCATCCCCCCGAGATAGTGAAAGATAAAGGGATAGAGAGAGAGAGATAGAGATAGAGAGAAAGCAGCAGTTATCCGAGTTATCCCTTCGCACGACTCTGACCTAATGCTATAGAATTAGGTAGCCACGTTATACCTTGGCTAGCCCATTATACTGTTCCGAAACCCTTTGGGAAATTGTCTATGGAGCTAGCGCGAATCTCGATCAACCGTGAAATGTAGTCTGATGCGTATTAACGTACGGGTGCCGTCGAATACATCTACGAACTTCCGATATATACACTATTCGACTATGTACATAATACATACAACATCGTTTGGTTGAACCTTAGTAATAACCTTCTCTTCCCATATCCTTCGAGATGCATCATCTCGACTACGTCCTCACGGATTTCCAATTTCCCATTCTACAATTTACGAATAAGAGAAATGATTATTTTTTACCGGTCACACTAATGTCATCTCGTTATAACTAATTTCCATCAATTACTCCTACCGAAACGTGAAACTGATCGATCTGTACGTAATGAAGTTTGGAAAATGGTGTAAGCCTGATCAAGCTGATTGTAACATAATAATAATAATGAAATTTCAGTCGTCAACGAGTAGAGTCGATTGAACGTTCAAGTTCTGTTGACAATTCAGTGTTTAGCATCGGTCCGATGGTTTAATGTCCTCGTTTACGCATTATGTCCCTAGCTCGTAATTAGTTAACAAACGCAAAATACAACGTTCGTTTGTACTTTACCATACGATTAGTTTGGAAAACCTTCCAATGATTGATAGCTGAGAAAATCTGCATTGACTGATCGTTAAATAAATATTAATACTCCTAGTATGTCTCTCTGTACGCTGTAATACGCTTTATAATATGTGATTTAAACAATAATTATTACTATAACGATTTTGATTAACAATGATAAATGAAAATGATTCGATCGAAAATAGGTAATATCGTAGACGATGATAGAAAGGACTCTCTTAGAATCGTATGACCGAAGGCATATAATGGTCGTAGAACCGTTAAAAGAGATAGGTGAAACGTGGATGATTCACGAGCGACGGAAATAGAACTATGGCCGTTTCTGGGACGACCTCGTGTGCTTCTATCCTATTCACGCTTCACAAGGGTCGCCTAAGTGTTCGTCGTCGAAAAGCTTGCGAAATACTGACGTTACTGTGGTACGAGGACGAGAAAACCCTTTTCCCCTATGTTATTTATTGTAATGTTAATCGATCGGTATAACAAAACATGAAGACGCACAGTGTGTGTTTCGCTTATATTTATGCGAACGCGTTTTTTCCCATCAAAATATCATAACTGTCATATTCGTGCTATGTTTTTTCTGTTTAAATTCTATTTCCTTTTGTGTGTCTTGCGTTTCTTTTTTTTAATAATTACTTTCTGCAATATATGAACAAAATTCCATAGTGATACTTCAACATTTTTCCTTTTTTTTTTCTAAAAGTCACTTCAGAGAATTTAAATTATTCATCAGTCTTACGAAATAATAAATTCCATTTTCATAATGTATGCAATACTTTTTTACAAAAGTTAACAAATAATATTACGAAATAATTCGTCAATTTGTAAAGTGTACTACACGATATTAAAAACCATTTTCATAATGAAATATTACGAATTACATTTTATCGTCAAATCATTTCGTAAATATTATTACGCCAAATTGGTTCGCAAAAATGTTTGATCTTTCGTGCGAAACACCCGTCCTTCATTTATTCACGAATCGTGAATATAAATTTTTGTAAATGAATCTACGTAACTAATCAATAATATTACAAAACGCGTAGAATTTAAAATCCTGTATTATAACGATCGTTACATTTAATTCATTTCCAAATTAATCCATGGTGTATTTTCTGTTCGGCTTTCTAATTTTCATCGAAGATATGGATAAGTTTTCTTCGTTCGCCGAGGACGTGACGCTCGCCCGCTTCTAGCGCATCTAGCGGCACTGTCAAGGTATACTAATTTGACTAACAAACCTATTTCTAACTTTATTTTCGTATTACTATTTACTAATACGATAGTACTGGTAATCTGATATCTCGTGTCTAATCTAATTATGTATCTATCTCTCTTACTTATTTTCTTATGCTTACAGCTTGCACATCAGGACATTCATCGTGTTTTGTTTTGTTGTAGCCTTACCCATACCCCTTTTCCATTCCTACCAAAGTTCCTGCATTCGCGTCTTCGTCTTCAACAATCTTCTTGGGCTCTCCTCTTATCGTATATTACTCACAACATTCCTTACGATTCCTATTTATTCAAGGATACGACTGTTCATCGACAACCTATCATCTTACACGTTATACAATCTACAATTACAAATCGAATTATTATTTCTTTTGTTATAATACATTTTACATTTTGTTCATTTATTTTTTATTTTATTTGCTATTACTTCTACTACGTCATTCTGATCGAAGGATACGACATCGATTCTACGTTCATTACGCTAAGGTGAGCATGATTTTATTCAATTGTAATAATTAATATTATCAATATTACAAGAAAGCAAATGCGTGAATTTGATTTTCAAAGTAAACGTGGAGAATGTAATTTTGTTTTAAATTTTATTACGATTCGTTGGTCCGATGTGAGTTTTTCTAAAAGGTGTTGCAAAATATTGTGACAAAAAAATAAATATTCACGATACATATATATATATACTGTACTATGAATGACATTCAACGTGCAGAAAATGTTTCCGGAGATTTCGAAAGGGAAATTTTGATGTCAAAGATGCATCTCCTGCCGAACGACCTATCACCACAGACGTGAATAAAATGAAGACTATGATTGATAGCGACCGCCATTTGACGACACGGGAGATGCACTAAACATTACTGCCACTACTGTTACACAGAAAAAAAAAAAAAAAGAAATGAAAGAATCGGATAGGAAGATTTTTTTAAAACGGTTAAAAAAAGGAAAAAAAATGTGAGACGAATATATTTCACGTATTCGAAAAGTACAAAATAATTTGTAAAATTCTCGATTGTATCAAAATTATATTGAAATTTATATGCATCTGGATATATGAATATCCAGGTAAAAGTTTTCAAATATTACAAAATGTTTCCATGCAAAGAGACATATTTTATTTTTCTATTATTTTTAAATTCGATGAAAATAATTTCGTGTGAAAAATTTCTTATTCACAAGTATGATTTTCTTATATCGTTATATTTATTCTTTTATGTATAAAATAGAATATATAGTTCATATAACCCCATTACTACTCGTGTAACGTATAGTGTAGAAGATAAAAAAGTAGGATAATTTAAAATTCTCTAACAAACGCGAATTTAAAAATTCCATAAAAATGAAAAATATTTTCTTTTAAATATACACACGCGTTGATATACATATATATAATGTTCGTCATACTACGATCATATGTAAGTAACTTTATTATCGAAATTTTATCTATAAGGTTTAAAACCTGCACACCACCATCAAAAACAACCTAGGTAGGATATGCGTGCTTAAGAAAGGATGATAAAAGCAGCTTTGTAAGAATGAAAGAATGCAATAAAAACTGACAATAATAAAAAACGTAGAGAAAAACCAAAGAAAAAAAAGTAAAAGAAAAGAATAATATGAGATGAAGAAAGGAAAGAAGGAAGGAAAGATGAAAGGAAAAATGGAAGGAAGAAACACCCTGGTAATATGACTTGCTGCGAGCTCTTCTTTGCAAGCTCGTAGAACGGCTTTTCGCAAAAAGGATCTGCGAAAGCAACCGCGAAAATCTATGATAGGATCTCCTATCCTGACGTATAGGAAGACAAGATGTAACGAAAATAAAAAATAAATAAAAACTAAATATAAAAAAAAAAACAGTGTGTGCAAGAAAGAGAGAGAGAGAGAGAGAAAGAGGAGGGGGGTAGAAAATACGTGAAACATTTTAACGAACGAAAAATACCATCATCCAAAATAAAAATCGTGCTGGGAAAATAACGTTATTTTTATACGAGATAATGACCAAATATATACCGCGAGTTGATACGCGAAAAATAGAAAAAAAAAACAAAAAAAATAAAAGAATCATAAAATACGTCAGATTTAATATCATTCCATAGAATTTGTATATTTACTTAAAATTTATCTTTATCTAAAAAGAAGCAAAAAAAAAGTAAGTCCAGTAATCGCATTTAAATATAACGTCATTTTTATTCTTTTTAATCTCGTTTAAGGCAGGTGTTTGTAATGAGTTAAGGATAGTTTATTAAAAATTACAAGGTTACAACGATATGGAATTAGAACGTTCATCTTAATTAAAAGTTACTAAAATAGATCTTAAGATAATGTAAACGTCTCTTTAATGGATTAATCCTCTCGTATCATCTTCGTAGGAGTTATAGTATTTCTCGTAAAGTTTGATGTTTTAGAAATTGTTTTCCGATCTCGTTAATACCTTATCAAAGGTTTTGTACTAAGAGCTTTCTAACGAAACCTTAACAGGTAAAATGTATACGTATCTACATAGATACTTACTTATATATATATATATATAGGTATATGACGTTCAGGGTCTCATCCTGGAACTATAATGGAGTTGCGAACTATGCTAGATGTGGTAGCAAGCTTAGCATGCCTCGAAAGGCGACAGTCGTTTAACTATAGCCTAACTTTGCTATCGGCGAAGTAGATACCGATTATCACTGAAGCTGCGTCGATGAAAGGATCGATAACAAAGTCATCTATAATCTTATCGATAATCAATTATATAATATCTCGATTGATATAATAATAATTGATAATAATTATTCGTATAGGATTTCACATAAACGAAAATATGAATTAAAATCAAAGATTATTGATACGTAAAGATGAAAATAAAAACCATAGATCATAAATATACGTATAACCCATAAACGGCAAAGATTTGATCACGTCGGTCAAGCAAAAAGTTCACCACTGTTACTCTAACGATCATAGATAAACTTAATGGCTCGCACTAATTAGAAGCAACGGTCATTATCGTCGTCGGTCATAGGTGCAAAAACTTATTCGCTTAGTGCATCCAACTATTATTAGATTCCGATTACTCTACTGTTCTCGGTGCCAAAACCATGCGGTTTAATCGCATCACCGAAAACAGAGGATAAAGATTCATCGATCCCGATACATTCTTAGTTGGCATAATAAATTTGCAAAATTTCTTAGATGAAATAAGATAGGATATATAAAATATATCTTACAATCTATAAATAATCTATATCGTAGGTTACTTTTATCTTATACAAAATGAATAAAAAGAGAATTCGATCGATGCGTCTTCGTTCGTTGGTGATTTGACTAGTGTAAAGTGGCTTAAAGAAGTTATTCATCTAGTTCTCTCTTTGGAATGCTTCATAAAATTCAAAGGATCAGTAAGATAACGAACGCGTAACGATCGTACATCATCTCAGCCGAGGTGGTTTTTCCCTGTACGACGAGGATCCGCCTATTCGAGCTTAATCATTTCGAAGTTAGGCAAAGGTTGGAGCAAAACTTCCCTCCGACGTCGCAATTCCCAAAGGGGGTTGTTGGAAGAGAACACGAATGAGTGAGTGAGTGAGTGAGTGAGTGAGTGAGTGAGCAAGTAAATGGGAAAGAGAAAGACAGTATAAGAGTGTATGTGTGTGTGAGAGAGAGAGAGAGAGAGAGAGTGAGAGAAATGGTAGTAGCTCGTAGATAAACTTAATGGTTCCGGGCTAATTAGGCCGGAAAGTCCGGACCAAAGGCATTAGCACCACCTTTCGCAGTCTAAAGATAATTTCTATGGCCACTTCCTGCCGCAGGAGAGCCTCAGGAGACGAAGCGAGTCGCCGACCAACGTCGTTCTCGCGTATCCTGCATCCTGGACCGTCGTGAACCGAAAGAGCTAAAAGGAACCGTCAAGGAGCATACTTTTAACTCCAAACAGATCTTCCTCGCTAAACTTCGAACTTCCATAGACGATGATAACAACAACAACAAGAACGATGCTGTAATCGTAATCATCGTGTGTGTGTGATAATCAGGTAATTATTATATACAAGTTTTATTTAAATTCGACAATATATAATGTCTCGTTCGATTAATCGTGGAAATAAATAAATTATTACAAAAAGAGAGAAAGATAGAAATGAATGGTTTTGGAGTAAACAAATATTTTTGTCAAGACAATTTATAAGTAGTATAGTTTTAACACTTTGCACCTAATCATTTTCTAGATATGGACCTACCAAACATTCATATATCAAGAGCATTATTATGTACATAAAAAGAAAGTGCTAAAATCTTTTAAACCGTCATTTAACTTATTAACATTTGATACAATAACGACAGATCGTTCAGAAACATTTATTAATATATTCGATTTTAAACGGAAATCGACAGATAATACGAAACAACTTTTGTAGACGTCAATGTATTTCTTTCGACTGCTAATAAATTTAAATTCGGTAGTGGGAACTTTCAATCTGTATAAATTCTTCATCGTGAAAGCTCGAGGCGTAATGAAACAGGTTGGTAGAGGTATATTCGAGAAAACGAAGTCTTAAAAAGAAAAAACGAGAAAATGAAGAGGAAAAAAAAGAAATAAAAAAAAAAAAAAAATAAAAGAATAAAGTATGAAAGGTATACGGGAAATACTAAAGTCAAGATCGCGAGGCGCGGAAAGAGATTTAAGACCACCCCCTTATTTGGCTTCCTTCTTTTTCTACTTCTACTTCTACTTTTACTTCTACTTCTTCTTTAGCTAAAAACGCAAACCCTAAGAATAAACGTATGTATAGACTTACGTATAAGTGTTTGTGTGTATTCATATATATGCTCTCGTGCGAACGATAAAACGGAATTTGCATTCGAGCTCCTCGTTAAAGTCGAGACGAAGTAAACTATCGCGAGCACGTCGATTCCATTTCCAACCGCTACAAACACGTACCAGTACGTTGAAGAAAAGAGACAAAGAGAAAGAGAGGTAGGGAAGGTGGCAAAGAGGGGAAAGAGATCTTCCATTATGGCAAATAGCTAGGAAGAACACCCTTAGGATAAAGGTGAAAGAGAAGGTACTACGAAAAGATGAAATCTTTTTCTATCTTTCTCTCTTCTTCCTCTTTTTCTTTCATTTTATTTTTTCACTCGACGTTCTATCAAAGTGATACCTTAGGTAACAACCATATCGAAGTAGTATAGTACTAAAGTAAAGAAAAAAAGATCGTCGATAAAAAGCAGTGACCCTGTATATTACTATATCTTTTTTCAGTTCCTGAATCAAGTTTATCATTTCGCTTTTTAAAAACACTTCGAAATACATAAACCCTTTGGTTTTTTTTTTTTTTTTTTTGTGTTTTTTTTTTTATCATCGATCGTAATTTTCTCACTCTATTCTATTTTATTTTTCGTGTTTTATACTTTTTAAAAGAGAAATAAGTAAAAACTTTTAAATGTATAATATAATGATATATTAACTCGATTTTTATACCTCCTTCTTCGACTTCTTCTATTTTTTATTGAATCTTTTTTGTTTATCTTTTTTTCAGATTATCCCGAAGAAACGTGAAAGCATCGATCTATGAGTCTAGAAGAGGATAGCAAGAAGATGTTTATTATCGATCCAATTGAATTCTGCGGTCTGAGTTAATGGTTTTAAAAAAAGAGAATATACACGGATGACGATATTATCGATCGTGGTTTAGTTTTTTATAAGATAGAAAGATATATATATATGACGTGACCAAGAAAACCTTTCGAAGCAGCCAGTTAATTCGTTTCGATCGACTCGAGTTATATATACATAGGAATAAGTAATTTAAGCTTTTTATCACGGAACGGATTGATTTTTCTAAAACTCATCGATAAAAACGTCATTTCCGTGTATACTCTTTTTCCTTTTATTATCCATTTAAGGACGGATCAAAAAAAAGGAAGAACGACGAATTTTCTTTGTTCAAAAAATATGAAAGAAAAAGAAAAAAAGAAACAAATCAACGTGTAAACGAAAGTATGCTTCGAATGATTCAATGATAAACGTAAAAAGATAAACTAACGAAGGGTATGTGATAAAGAAAACTAAAAACTAAAACAAAAAAAATATTTAGTAAAGGATTATCACGAAGGACGTCGTAAATGTTATCTAGGTCACGTGAAAAATTCGCAATAGTAACACGTGGACGAAAAGATTTCATTTAAGAAGAAAACGAAGTGCTGAACAGCGCGAGGATCATCTTTGGATCCTTTAATAGGATTTTCAGGATCAATGCGTCCTTCGATATGATAGGCAGCCCAGGTAGACACAGCAGGCGATTTCTTTGAGGCGAACGAGTGTAATCCGAACGGCAAAAGAAAATTTGAAAAATCCTTTATAGTATCAACTACTACGTTGAATCGAGAATCGAATTTTACAATGATCGAGAAACGAAAGAAAAGAAAGAACCCACAAATTATTTCCTCGTTTTAACGTTAACGTTCATGCGGGGATTATTATCGGATTATTTAATTAAAAAAAAATTTGTCGCGTTAAAAAGAAAAAAAAAAAGAAGATAAAAAGTAGAAGGAAATGGAGAGACAGAGAGAGAGAGATAGAAAGAAAAATATTAGGAAAAATAATATTATTATTTATATTTAAACGTCAATCTTTAATTAAATCGCCTCAAAGGGATGACCTCGTATTTAACAACGGGATAAACCATGTGCGAAGGAGAAGATCCTTACGTTTATGATAAAAGCACGCTCCTCGACAGTTTTCAAAGAAATTCTTCGAGCATACTTTCGGTTTCGCTGACGCCGTTCAGGACGCTTTTGTACAAAGTATTCCTTATATCTCCTTGACCCGTTCCAGTGCCTCTTCTTGTAAAATCAGAAACGCGAACGTCACACGAATCGTTCATTTTGCCAAAAAATTTCAAATATATATATATATAGATATATACACAACATTAATGTAATCGAAATATTGCGTTAATACTAAAGTAATAACGGTTATTATTATTTACAATTTAATCATTTTGATTATTACTTTCAATTTATATTATCGCGTGTTGAATTTAAATCGTAACAATTATCTATAGATAAAAAAAATAATAATAAATTTACGCGTTTTTATTGCAAGAGTTTAATGAAAACTATTCGGAATGTAAAATTATAATTAAAACATTGATTCGAAATATATTATGACGAAAACCGAAGCCTTTATAATGAGTAGAATCAATATTTGACGATTCGTTATTGAATCGATACTACGTAAAACGTTTTTAGTAAAAAATAATAAAAAAATAATTCAACGATCGTTCAACCGTAATTATTTTGGTCCCAACGTAATAATACAAAAAAAAAAAAATTCGAATCTTTTTAATTAAATACGAAAGAGAAAAATAAATAAATCTTCGAATAAGTTTAAATTACGATGGCAAAAATAAAATATATATATATATATATATATATATATTAAAAGATCGTAAAATTGCTGAAACAGAGGGAGATTTTGGTGGCGGGTGGGGAGCAGCGGGGTTGGTAATAAAGCCGTAATTATTTCAACAACGGCATAACGCGTCACGCGTCACTATAAAAGATTCAACGGCCTAAAAAGCAAAGTGACGGGTTGACGTTACGTCGATAAATATACCCCGGGTGCTCTCCATTTCACGAGATTCGACAATGGACTCCATTTGCTATTCTATCTCGGCTCGTGGCGATGCTATTCGACGACTTTCGAGTCGAGTTACGTTCTCCCTCAACTCTTATTCGAATGGAAAATTAGAAGCTACCTTGTTCGAAGAGTTCTCTTTCGTGTATGTGCATATGCATGCGTGTGTGTGTTTTGTATATGGAGTTGTCCAACTCTGTTAACACTTTGATGAAGCTATACACACCTTCCTAACGGAATGAATAAATTTTACTAATATTTCCAGATTAAATTAGAAGATTATTATATTATTATTATTATTATTTGAAGAGAGGGTGTGTAGCACGTTAACAAACAAATAATCTACCTTTGTCTTTGACGTAGGAAAAAATACACATGCATATGAGCGTGCGCACAATGAAAAAAAGAAACAAAAATTATTCAATATCAAAAATATAAAAATACAAACGTGTATACGTCCGTGTTTCTCGATGAACCAGGAAGAGGCACGTGCGCGTGCGCAAACTTTTTACATTTTAGACACTTAAAAAAAGAGAGAGAGAGAGAGAGAGAGAGAGAATGTGAGAAAAAATTGAGAGAAAGAGAAATTCGCATTATAGATAGTCGATGAACGAACGTAGCGAAGGAAAAGTGTTCCAACGTTCTCGAAGCGTGAGAATAATACGAACCAACAAAGTACTTCGCGAACGTAGGATATATTCTGAGAGAAAAGTTTAAGGCGAATATTAAATTGAAAGAAGAAGAAAAAGAAGAAGAAGAACAACAACAACAACAACACAACAACAAATAAGTTATGATAAATAATTAACAATGGAAAAAAAAATTGATTAAAAAGAAAAAAAAAGCAGTGTAATGAACAATTATAAGATCGCCGTAGCGTATGACATGTCCGTGCAAGCTTACTAGTGCCGCCGTTGTGCTTTTTCGTTAAAATTCCTTTTGTCGCTCGTACCTATCGAACGAGATTCGTATGAAAGTCGTCGTGAGTCAGTCATTCACGACTCGTCGTTCCGTGTGTCATCAAACGTAACGTCTTTTCATTGTAAAAGAATAATGAAATAATGATTAAAAGAAAAAAAAAAAAAAAACAGAGGGAGAAAGAAAGAGAGAGAGAGAGAGATAAAAAAAGAAGGAGAAAGAAAGGGAGGGAAAAGATGATAAGATATAAAAAAAAGATTAATAAATAAATAAAAGAATGAAAGTAAAAAGTGAAAAAAGAAGCATCTATTTTCAATATTATTCGCGTTGATAAGAAAAGCGGCTTACAAAAAAAAAACAAACAAACGATCGATGGATGTGAAATAAAGAATAAAAAAAATAAATAGTAATATATATATATAAAACAAAAAAAAAAAGTCTCCGTGTGTATATGCGCTATGTAATCGCAACTTTCTCATTTTTAAAAAACTTCAAACTCGAATTATTTATTTCGATAAGAATGAATTTTTAACAATCATCGAACGATCGTAAGAAAGAAGACAAGAAGAAGATAACGAAAAATAAACAGAATATCTCTCAATCGCGAGTCGAAATATTTTGCTAATAATGCCGAAAAAAAGTTTTCAAAAGGGATCGTCGGAGATATTTAAAAATGTTTATTATTAAAATACGTACTTAAAATACTTACATACAATACATACATACAATACATACATACATAATATATTGTAGAGAATATTTGTGATCGGTCTTCGATATGTCGTCGTCGGATCGATCGGTGTGTATTATAATGAAAAATAAAATAAATTAAAATAAATTAAAATAAAATAAAATAAAACGAGAAAAAAATGCTAAGACGATTAAATTGTCCCGATATAATATACATTACGTGAAAGTCGACGTAGTCGGATTCACCGGAACGACGAGTCTAGAGCATAGCTAATAAATAAAGAATGTATTTTATGATATTTTACGCATAAACACAAGAGAGGTGAAGGAAATAAATAAATAAATAAATAAAAATAAAAATAATAAATCGCACGATTGTGTAAGTTGATATAGCGATAGTCCAATATAAAGTTTAAGTAGAATTGTATAAAGTGAATAAGGATAAAAAGAGAGCGGAGCAAAGAAATAAAGAAAGCGAAAAAAAGAGACAGAAAGAGGTGGAGAGAGAGAGAGAGAGAGAGAGAGAGAGAGAGAGAGAGAGAGAGAGGGAGAAAAAGAAAAAAAGAGAAAGAGGATATGTAAAACGTATAGTGTCATTCGATCGTCGACCGAATCGAAAACTATCGCGATTTCTATGGGAAAATTCGATGCTCGAATCGTACGGATTGACAGGACCGCAACAGCCCGGTGATTCTACTTTCGGAAACGATCGAAAAATTGGAGTTCCCGTTGGAAACGTCGTTAATACGTATCGCCGTGGTCAATTACAAGCTCTCATCCCCCTTTTTTTCCCTCTTCCGGGAAAATACCCTCCCCTATCCCCCCCACCGTCGCCCTCAAACCCTCTCGTTTTCCAACGGAAAATTTCCGATCGGATTTTCCTTCGAACGTACCATACGCTTAACTCGTGACAATTCTAATAATCAGTTTATACGCTCCAATTCTTGCTCAACGAAGAGGTTTCGATCGTTTCAATTGCGTAGTACCTAGATAGAAAGAGATAGAAAAATGGAAAATGAGAGAGAGAGAGAGAGAGAGAGAGAGAGAGAGAGAGAAAGAGAAAGAGAGTGGGAAATTCATTTAATGACGACGATCGAAACGATTGAAAAGAAACAAATTTGTAGTACACCCATATATGCGTAACAAAACGTACCGGTCGTATTATCTATGTTTCCAACAGAAACTTCTGAAACGATCAACAAATTTCCAAAGTTTGTTTTACCGGTTTATGGTATCCTGACGCAATTGCGATATACTAACAGTGCTACTGTAAAATATTGTATATTGTTTCGCGTTGTTTATTTTTCAGTGTTTCTAATAGATGCGCGTTTATACGGTATTCTCCAAAAAAAAAAAAAGAAAAAAAAAACAGGAAAAGAAAAAACCAACGTTATTGCATAATGTTATTGGGACGCGACTAGACCTGCTGTCCTCCTGTCCCGCATCACTCGCGACGATTTATCATCCAAAATATTATTTCTTTTTTAAACCAAAGTACATGTATATAATTATATATGCATACATATATGTATTTGGTGCGAATGAACGATGAAAATACGAAGAGAGAGAAAGAGAGAGAGAAAGAACGCATTAAATAATACTTAGAATAAATAACGTCCAAAATTTTCGTTCCTAATATCGTCGATGATAAATGCATCGTTTACTCGCATACGAAATAGATTTGTATGTTAATTTGTAAAACGTCTCAATTTGCATTATGTAATCAAACGTTATGTTATACTTAGATGTTTCTATACATATGTATGTGTTTACCTTCGTACGATCCAACGTCGAGTATTTACATTGACGTTGCATCTTTGTATGTTTTGTAAAATTTTTCTAAACGTTGGTTAGAGATGCTCTACCTATTCCCAGTTTGAATTACATTCGGATTACTTTATAAAAAAAAAAATGGAAAAAAAAAAACGTAAACAAAAAAAAAAGGAAAAGAAAAAAGATAAAACCGTAATCCCTTGTTCTCAACGATAACAATAAAAAACACACAAATCGACAAACAAATTATTTTTATTCATCGCCTGCGTGGGATCACTTATGTGGGACAGTTGATCAAAAAGATTAGTATGTTTATAAACTTCAGCGTAATTCCAACAGCTTTTGCAGTGTGTGAAGTAAATCGAATCCATTGTAAACTAGTCTAGGACACGTTTAAGTATGTATGGCTTGAGTGCAGAGAGATATTGCGAACGTACGATCCGTCCACCATCGGTGGTGATGTGTTAGTAAAGCTCGCTTTGAAAAAGGTCTCTCATGAGGGTCGAACGAGAACAAAGCTTTTCATCGTAAAAATGTCAGCACCCATCCCTTTTGCTTTTTTCTCTTTGCAAACTTTCATTTATCATTGATTAACGAACAACGATCATTTCATCCAGCATCGTTTATTCTTTGAACGTAACTAAATTACAATCAAGCTATGCAGAAAACCTTCTATCAACCCTTTATGGATCCCAAATTGACTATTAATTTGAAGATTAATAATTTTGTTTATAAAAAATTACTAAAAAAGATTAAATATTATTTTTATTACTGTAATTTTATATTATTTTCTTAAACGTATTATTTAACACAGCGAATAGTAAAATTAATATTATTTACAAGAATTGTTCGATGGGGGTTGGTAATATTTTGAAAAATAGATATCACAAAATTATAAGATTTACGCTGTGTTAAACTAATTTTTTGTAATTTTTTAAAAGTCGACAGATTTTAATATATATATATATATATTTATCCAATTAAAATAATTTACAATATAAGTGATAGAAGTATATATACGTATATATAATGTATATGCGGTTCTCGCAAATCGATTCTAAACGTTTCGATGTAATTTTCTAAATCGTCGTACTATTAAAGCATTTATTTTAAACGATCCCTCTGAGAGCAGTCGAGCATGATGGAAGGATTCGTATCGTGCAATGATGTGTGCTCGCGAACATAACGATAAGTTATGTCGCTCCGATAGATTTTAAATAGCGGAGAATGTGCACTATGAATCTAAGGCTAATCTCTAGCAGCACGAAGTATTAACGTTAATAGCGAAATTATATTGTAAAGGAGCGAGGACGCCATTAAAACATTACGCATAGGCCACTCGTAACGTTTCCTATGTATAGCGGTACCGAAACGAAAGCCGCATTCTTTTCGCAAGTTGTCTATCTAACAATAAATACAAAATTATTCATTTATGTTAAAAGTAACAGAACAAAATGAACAAAATAAAAATAAAAAGGAAATGTCGGATTCGACTATGCGAAAAGAACGTCGATCGTGCGTCCATTGAGACGAGTACCAAAGATCGGACATTGCGGGATTAACGATAGAACTCTAAAAAGTTAAATTAAGAAGCGCAAAGTTTCTACCGTCTTTCTTTCGATCATGGCAGAAGAGGCAAACATAAACACGTACACACGTACACATTATTCATACATACTTACGTGCATAACGTATTTATGTACTTGTACACGTTTATGCGATATACATAAAAAAAAAAAAGAGAGAGAGAAAAAAAAAAGAAAAGAAAACTTTAACAAAAAACAAAACCAAAAAAAAAAAAAACCAGAAAAAATAATTATAATAACGTTTCACGACTGATCTTTACGTACTCCTACGCCGTACTCCACAAGAGTTCTTAGTTTTTAGTTGTTGTTTGGTCAGAAATGTTTATAAGTATTCCTGTAATATCCTCCAGAAAGACCGGATTTGAAACTAACGCTATTTAACAAAAAATTAATTATAGTAATATTTATATTATGTGAGAAATTAATTCCAATTCAATAAATGTGAAAAATACTTGTACATGTCGTGGCGCTTGTCCGTGGAGAATGAAAGAAAAGTCATATTATAATTCATTATTTGCGAATTTGATCTACACGGCAGATCGCAAGAAAAAAAGGACACTTTATTCTAGTTGTGTATCCGATGCTTTGCTAATTGAAATTAATATTTATTATTCCTCTGTTAAATGTAACAGTCAATTATGTTCTAAATAAAATCTGCCAAGATTCTTGTGAAATTATTTCTATTCTTATTCCCAATTATTTTATATTATTAAACTAGCTATTCTTCTATATTAATATGTCTGTATATTTATAAAAAAAAAAAAAAGAAAAAAAAAATGAAACGTTAAATGAATCTAATAATTTTATAAAATTAGATGAAACTATTATTTATAAATACGAAAAACTAATTTAGCTAAATCTTCATTTAAGAACAAAATAATTTAACAATCTTCGACAATTTTTAATATAATTTTTAGCTACTTTATAAAAATTGAAGAACATTTATTTTTAACTTTTACATTAATACCTTCACCACTGACCAGAGGATAGTCATAGCTTAGAAGTAAGCTAAATAAATTTTCTTTTTTCCTAGAGTATTTTATATTAATATCATAAAGAATATAATTTTAAAAAAAAGGGTGCATTTTCACAAATATTTAAAGCTATAGTCGTTGTAGAGTTTTAAATAACAATGTATATGTCATAT